TCTGCAATGACTTCGACCACTAACGAGGTTCATGTGACGGTCTTCTTTTACAGACCTGTAGACCAGCTAGAAGTCTGTTAAAGTTTGACTTAGATTTGTTGAACTTTATGTTTTAATCATATATCTATTTTCTTGTACCTAGGCTGGAAGACAAGATTTCTTGCGGATTTTGTTAAAGCAGTTCAAGTAACTCCTACAACTTCCATCTACTGCGAACGGATGTGAAAGGACATAGGTCACTGCTATTCCAGCAAAAATTACGGAATCTAATAATGTGTATATCCGTAAAGAAAAAATTCATAGAACTAGACTTCCATAATAATACTAGCCTAAAGCATGACCTGTGTTACGTATGCACGCCGTTAGAAAGCGTCAATTGACCAGAGAGCAACAAGAGCAGTGTAGCTACGAAAACAGATTGGTTGTGTCAACACAGCGTGTCGAGAGCTCTCATAATTAGATGTGAGGAAGTTTTTTAACATTTTCTTTTTTGGATACGGGACTGAAACGGCGTAATGGCACTGTCACGTGCTTCTAGCCGCCTAGAAAAAGCAGGCCTAGATTTATGGTGTTTGAGCATCTGCAGTGCAAGAATGCAAAACCGCATCACTAGAAAGAGCCGAACAAACGCCTGTTCCGCCACCTGTCGATATGCCACTATACGTTTCAATATTCCATGTTTCAGTTCAGTATCAAAATATAAAATGCTATTTCTCTTAACGGCGGTATCAATAACTAGCAGCATGGGGGTAAACCTTTAAGATCGAGTTTATTTTTAAGTATAAATATGCCGGCGGATCATGGCATATCTGCAGGTATCCGAACAGGCCGCTGTTCAGCCCTGCTTAGTGATGCGGTTTGGTATCCATGCACTGCAGGTACGAATAAAGCACTCAAGTACCATCGAGCCTGGCCGGCTTAAATGGCACCTTAGGTGGCTAGAAACAAGGAAACAATGCCACTACGAGGCTTCAATCCGGTATCAAGAGAAAAAAATATATTTCTCTTAGCGGCGGTATCGATAACTAGCAGCATGTTAGTAAATCTATAAGACAGGATTTGTTTCTATGTACGAAGTTTCTTTTACATGTGCCCATTCGTTCTACTTTCTGTAACATTAATAGTAAACTTTCGAATGATGAACTTCGCGCTCATGTCCAGTATCCAAAGATAAACGCCATCGTATTGTATTAAGAAATAAACAAACGCTAATTGAATTTGCATGGCAATACTCTGAAATTTGCAGCTACCGCGATTGTAGAAAATTGCTTTCTGTTCACTAAGGCGGTTCCAAGTCATCCAGAAATGTTTCTTGCTTCATCGCGAAAATCGTATAGCCATAAATAGCGGCGGCGAAAATGCCAAGGCAAAGACCAATTCTACTGCTGCGCCGGCGAAACCGCTGCATGTGGTCAAAGCGCTGCTTCCTCGCATCGTCCACAGTTTTCATTTGCAATGCTTCCAGTTTCTGTCTTAGCTTCAAATCGTCGGTCATTATTTATTTTTCGCGGAGAGGCAGATTAACCGACCGCTACAAGCAGCTGCCGTTCCTCGAAGCACACAATCCTAAGAAGTGAAAAGCCTTTT